TCTGGCACGGCTAGGAGAGATTGTAAGTATGACGGTGTTTTGCGTTGTTGTTGTTACTTGTGTGAAATGTTGCGACTAACCTCTGGCATTTGATAGATTCCGTCTCTATGTGTCGTTCTCGTTCTCAGCTCAACACCGCGGCCGCTTTTCCTTCAAAGTGCGGCGGTTCCGCACATCAGCTTTCCTCCGTACACGCGCAAGGAGGCCATCGACATTATCCTCACCTCCAATGCGCCGGTTGTTGATGGCCTCCCAGATGAGACTTCCCTGCGAGTATATCCATACTTCGTTGCTACGATCTACGACTCACTGGTTGGACCGACAGCAGGCTCTATTCCAAACTTCCGATCCATATGCGAGAGATTGTGGCCTAAATTTGTTGCGCCTGTAGTAAATGGCGAAGCACCTCCTGGCGGAAACATGGAGTGGGATTTTTCGAGATTGCTGGTTAAGAACAGATCAATCTTCCGACACCAGGGCGAGTCAGCGCTGGTGCACCGCATCGTGCCCGAAGATACATTGACGTCTATCACAAAACAACGGACTCCATTGTCAAATGTCACCATGATGCCCTCAGCCCTCCCGTCCCTCCCCTACTTCTCAACTCTCATCCTCACATCCGCATACCTGGCCTCCCACACCCCCCAGCGCCTCGACACAATCTTTTTCTCCAAATTCTCCTCATCCTCCCTCTCAGCCCGAAACAAACGCGCCCACCATCGCCGCCGCCTGAAAGTCCTCTCCCAAGCCCAAGCGGAAGAAAGACAAGCGGCAAACGACGGCCCCTCAACCCCAAACAAGCGAGGAAAAGGCAAGCGTACAAAAACCCGCATCACAAAATCCACCCTCTCATCCGCCTTCGCGACCTCCTCAGCCACAACCTCAGCCGCAGGCGGTGGCGCCGGTATAACCGGCCCATCGACAATTCTCACAGCTCGTCCTTTCCCCCTAGAACGCCTCCTAGCAATCTACCACGCTATCGACCCAAATCCACCTGCCACGCCTCTCCGCGTTGCGGCAGTCGCGGATCGGATCTACGCTGAACTTGCTACACTGCGGCGACTACGTCTTGTTGTCCCTGCTGCTGGGCATAATGGTGCCGCTAGTAGTAGTGGAAATACTACTGCTGATGCAGGTGATAAGTGGACTGTAAATGTCTCTGGGGATTGGGTCGGTGAGCTTGCTAAGGGGATTGGTGTTGAGGTTGGGGAGTGGCTTGCTGGTGGATTGGATTGAGTTACATGGTTGGGCTTTTATGCATTTATTTTGCGGAGTGTCTGGGTTGGTGCTATACTCCATTGCACCGTGTTATATCACATTCTTTTGCATTCTACTCTTATTAAGGTTTCAATTTATACCCATAGTCATCATCTACCTCCAATATTGTTCATTTGTAAAAGAGTAGAGTCGAGCACTTCGATGATAAGATTCAAATGGACCCTGTAATTCTAAACCATTGAAAAGGAAAAAGTGAAAAAGAATCCCGGCGCCGAATCCAAATAGACGTGACTAAGGTCATCAAAACAAGTCTGCACCAAAAGTAAAGAAAAGAAAGAAGGTATTGCCGGGAAATAGATACAGGAAACAGAAAACCAGAGGATATCAATCGCACGCCAAAGACACCAAATAGGCTCCACGCCATCCAAATCACCAACTCCACTGATCGACAACGCCATCTATGCCAACCAGCATACTGAGGGTCTCGGGACCTTTCCATGCTGGTGCATCATTACCCGCTTCAAAGCTCACGCAGCTCGGCGTGGAAGAATACTTGCGCTCGGTAAGCGGGGAGGGTACCTGTCGACCGGTGCGGAGGGAGAAAAGCTGGATCGTTTGGTCCGGGGATGCTAAGTCAAAAGTAGGTTAACCATTCGTTCGAATCCAAGATAAAATGATCTGATGTAACAGTCAGGGAACATACGGTTTGCAAGGAGACCGAGATCGGTGCTAATGTCCAGGGTTGGCATGGGCAGGGGCGCGAAGTCAGGGAATGTCAGGTATGGTTGGCTTGTTTCTGAATTGGCGATCGATGGGTTTTTGTTCCGCTTAATGCCCTTGGCGCCATCGGGAGCAAAGCGTAGGTCGAACATATGCAGCTTGGGGTTGTTAGTCAATATTCTAGGTGTGATTTATCGAAAGACAAAAGGGAAATGAGATGTATACATACATAACGAGGACCCGCGGCGACAATGCGCCAGTCGTCAACCTTTTTGAGTTGCATCACCGAGTCCGAATGCTGGAAGTGAGTCGTGCTAGAGCCAGTACGCAAGTCATTGAAGAGAATCGCGCCGTTCTTCCGCCCTGACATGATGACATCTTGATTGAGCCATTCAACGGAACACACGGTGTTCTTTTGTGGCCACCAGTGCCCTTTCGACCTGGGCTTTTTGGGACCAATATCAATCTCATGCTTCTTCATCAGCCAATTGTTTTCGCCACCGTGGATGGTGTGTAGGCCCTCTGAAGCGGCAATAGCGAAAATAGGATCTGTGGTTGATGGACAAGCTGCGGTGCCCCAGAAGGTCATTGGATGTTGAGGGGTTATGCGAGTGGGTTGAGAAACTGGATGAGCTTTTATTAGCATGTTGACTGTAGCAGAGGTTGGGGTCAGTGGACGTACTTGCTGGCCAGGTGTAGCCTCCATCATCATCAGGAGCAGGAAGCCAGTGCATTGAGAAGAAGCATGCCCCATCTGGGCCGTCGTCCATGGTTGCCCTGTGGGTGTTAGTTGATGGTCTTAACGACATTGGCTCGGGTTTGAAACGGCATACAGTAAACAGTCTGTCGGGCTCAGAGACATCGAGGCAAGCTAAAGATGGTGTCAGTCACGCTGAAGCTTCCATTGAGACTGGATGGACTGACCCGGAAAGGTTCCCTAAAGAGGAGACGTTCCATCGTGTGATTGTAGGACCATTGCGAGTTCTCGATATCTGGAAAGCAGACCCTGCGTGGTGGTCAGTATTGAACAATATCTGCTTATTGAAAAAGATCTACTCACGAGACGGAGGATTCCTGCCCGCGAGCCATGCCTTGCAATTTGTATCAGTAATGTAATAAGCCAAGAGGTATCAAGGTAACTCACTGGCAATCAAAGTGCCCGAGCGTGGGTTCCGCACGACCTGTCGAATCGTGTTCGCTCTTGGCCACGGTTCAAATTTGTGGAGCTCTTCTCGATGCAGCTGGCTTACTTGAAGACGAGCATACTTCTCCCGCATAGCACCGCCAGGCATCTCAAGCCCGATCTCTCGATGAACGGTCACCAGGGGCTGTGCCAACGCCGCACCCCTGGTGACCATCTCACTGGCCGTGCGCTGATCGAGTTTTGCCTTCCTTTCGCGTTTCTGTAGTCTTGATTAACAGAGGAAAATATCAGGAAGAGCTAGGGAACCTACTATGTGGTCACTACGCTTCCGCTTGAGCACCTTCGCGGAATATTGCGCACCAGGCGGGGCAACATGATCGGGCTGGATTTTGAAGTACTTCTTCTTGTCCTCATCTAGGTAACAAAATGGTAAGCGCTGGTCCATAGTGGGAGTGGAGACATGCAGAAAGCAAGAGTGGGTCGCGATGGATGAAAGTGAATGTAAATGGATGGGACGGGATGTAAATTCAAAAAAAATTGAGGTCTTGTGAGAGCAATTGAGGAGGCTTGTCGAGTACGCGATAAGACGTGTTCTCACTTGACACTGCTGGGGGGCAACACAGCAAATAGTAACAAGCAATATAAGTCCGACTCACCATAATAGAAGCCGGGAATCTCTGGAGCCATGATGGTTGGCCCGAAATGCAGAAATCAATGCGAGCAATGTTATTTCACGATGCATGTAGGAATGAAGAATTATATAGGACTCGGCCAACCATCGAGGCTTTATGCATGCGATATCTTGCAATGATCAACAGCCTTCCTTTGCACCTTTTGTGAACAATCTATTGAGCAAGGCCACAATATAACAATTGAGATAACCAGCAAATTGTAGCAGAGGTCATAAATATAAATATATGCAAAGCCAACCTCATGCAACGGTGAAGGCTTTGAGGTGACGTGAGTATATTATGTAATCTTCCGCCTCAGGCGCCCATTTTGATACGCCCTTGCCCTAAGTTGAGGGACTTGCCATACGATGTTGCTCCTCCAAGGCTGCCTGACCAGGTGTATATCAATAATGCCCCTTAATAGCATAGCCTAGGTATTCCACCGGATTTGAAGCATATCAACGCAAAGTGGAAAATGCGCTGCAGGCAAAAGTTGCATTGTCTTATACAGTTCAGAGGGATTAGAAATAGCCTCAGGAGAGCATGTATCCTTACCTTGCATTTGTCTCCTCTCTCTATTCATTTAATTCCGCTTGCTGTCGACGGTTTGAGGCTTTGAGCTCCAAGCCCCAACCAAGCCCCAAGGGGGAAGGCATCGCTTGTTTCTTCGCCTGGTCTGGCGACTTGCGAGTCACTCAAAGTCTCGGTGTATCTAGTTTGTTTTAATCCTATTGATGATCGCAGCCTGAAGGAAGTTGTGTTGGTTGTTGTTTATGGGATGCTGGAGTGTAATCCGTAGAGAGCATCTTCATATAAGAATAGCGGAAACGATTCCGACGCATCAAGCAATGTCATCAGGGACGCTGTCTACTAAGGATCGGAACTGCCATTGGAGGCCGCCATTCTAGCGCAGTCTTCGATCGCGCCTTCGACCTCGTCGTCGACTCACCTCCTCTCCCACCCGCATACACCAACTATATCTTCTTTCCTCAAGCATTCCTTTAGTTCACTGCAGTCGAAAAGCTCATGCTTGTTTGATGTGAGTCGATCCTTTTGCTGTCTTAGGTTGATCACCATGGGGCCAGGATGCTGTCAAGTGAACGGAGCAGCACCCGACCATTCAATTTATTGCATCTCATGATCATCAAATTGTTTGGTCTGAGAGATGTTCATCCTATGGACCGCAGCAGTTTGCTCTGTTTCCTTGTTGCTAACTTCCTTTCAGCCTTTGCAGCAGTTTGCCCAACATGCCCAGGCCTTCTGTTGACCCGTCGGATCCTCGCAACAGGGCTCTCCATAGCAACCCGCCCGATGAGCTTCATGGCGAAGAAGACAAGATTGAAAGCCTCAATGACCATGGCAATTTCCACGACCGCCTCTTTGATATTCCCAAGCATGCGAACGCCCTTGGCGGTATTTCTCCTAAAGAAGACCCCACTCCAACAGAGAACTCGGGCGTCCTCGGTCAGGATCAGCTAGAAACCGAAGAATCCCTGAGCTTCCTCATTGATGAGCTGGATGCTGAAGATGGCAAGGAGCCTGACCCTGATGCGGCTTCAATCCATGCTGGCAAACTTTTCGAGGTCCCTTATGCTTGGCTTGGTACTAGTCTCGAGGACGGCCTTAACGATGAAGAGGTGATTGTTCGACGGAAGAAGTATGGGTGGAATGTCATGAAAGAAGCCAAGAGAAATCATTTTCTCAAATTTCTTTCGTTTTTCATGGGCCCGGTTCAATGGGTCATGGAGGTAAGCAACTCTTGTCCAATATGATACGGTCCGGAAACACATATACTCATGAGATTCTTCTCATTGCAGGCTGCCGTTATACTCGCTGGTGGCTTACAGGACTGGATCGATTTCGGCATCATCTGTGGCCTCCTTGTCCTCAACGCCGCTGTCGGATTCATCCAAGAGTACCATGCAGGCAACATCGTTGATGATCTCAAAAAGACTCTTGCTCTCAGAGCCCAAGTCATCCGCAATGGCGCTCCTAAAGAGATACATTCAGCGGAAGTTGTTGTCGGTGATGTCCTTCAAGTGAAAGATGTAAGTCAATGAACATCAAGATGAGGACTATGGCCAGCAACTGACGTTTGCTTTAGGGCACGATTATTCCCGCCGACGGTAGACTTGAATCGCAAAATGCTTACCTACAGGTCGACCAGTCTGGTATCACGGGAGAGTCTCTCGCTGTCGATAAGCACAGAGGGGATGTGTGCTATGCTTCGTCTGCCGTCAAGCGTGGCGCTGGTTTGATGATTGTGACTGCCACCGGTGATCATACATACGTCGGAACTGCGGCTGCCCTGGTCAACAAGGCTTCCGGCAGTCCTGGACACTTCACCCAGGTGTTGAACGGGATGGCGCATATCCTTCTGATCTTTGTGATTCTCGCACTCCTTGTGATCTGGATTGCCAGCTACTATCGTTCGAACGGCATTGTGCAGATCCTAGAGTTTACCCTGGCAATTACCGTGATCGGAGTGCCGGTTGGTCTTCCTGTGGTAGTCACCACTACAATGGCTGTGGGTGCAGCTTACCTAGCCAATCGCAAGGCAATTGTGCAAAAGCTGTCAGCTATTGAGTCGCTAGCCGGTGTTGAAATCCTTTGTTCTGACAAAACTGGCACATTGACTCGAAACAAATTGACCCTAGGGGAGCCATATACGGTTCCTGGGATGACAACGGAGGAGCTCATGCTGACTGCATGTCTTGCAGCAACTCGAAAGACTGGCGGAATCGATGCCATCGACAAGGTTTTTCTCAGGGGCCTACGCAACTACCCATGGGCCAAGTCTCAAGTTCCTACGTACAGGACCATCGAGTTTACTCCATTTGATCCTGTGTCAAAAAAGGTTACTGCACTTGTGGAGAATCATGACGGAGAGCGAATGATCTGTGTCAAAGGAGCACCAATGACGATCCTGCGAACTGTGCAGGCAGAGAGCACCTTATGTGAGCCTTTCGTGGATGAGTACATGGCCAAAGTCACAGAATTTGCCGATCGAGGATTTCGTGCTCTCGGTGTTGCCCGCAAGCGTACCTCGAAGAACTGGGAGATTCTAGGGATCATGCCCTGCTCTGACCCCCCTCGCCATGACACTGCTAAAACGATCGCTGAAGCCCAAGGTCTGGGTCTCTCCATGAAGATGCTCACCGGAGATGCAGTCGGCATTGCTCGTGAAACAGCTCGCCAACTTGGTCTGGGAACCAACATCTACAATGCTGAGCGTCTTGGAGTCACTGGCGCTGGCGAGATGCCCGGTTCCGAGGTCAACGACTTTGTTGAAGCTGCGGACGGATTTGCAGAAGTGTTCCCTCAACACAAATATAGTGTGGTGGAAATTCTTCAGCGGCGTGGATACCTCGTGGCGATGACCGGTGACGGTGTGAACGATGCTGCTTCGCTCAAGAAAGCAGACACGGGTATTGCTGTCGAAGGTGCCTCTGACGCGGCGCGCTCCGCTGCTGACATTGTTTTCTTGGCTCCTGGTCTGTCCGCGATCATTGATGCAATCAAGACTTCTCGTCAAATCTTTCACCGAATGTACGCATATGTCGTTTATCGCATTGCCTTGTCAATCCACCTGGAGCTTTTTCTGGGACTCTGGATGGTGATCATGAATGAGACTCTCGATCTGCGCTTGATTGTTCTTCTCGCCATCTTTGCAGACATTGCGACGTTGGCCATTGCATATGACAATGCCTCCTATTCCCAGCTCCCAGTCAAATGGAATCAGCCAAAGTTGTGGGGAGAATCAATTATTCTCGGAATGATACTTGCCGCCGGAACCTGGGTAACGCTAGGTACCATGTTGCTGCAAGGTGAGGAGGGTGGTGTGATTCAAGGCTGGGGCTCGCGAGATGAAGTCCTCTTCCTGGAGATAACCCTGACCCAAAGCTGGCTGATCCTAGTCACTCGCATTACTGGGTCGATGTTCAGCAATCGACCCTCGGCTCTTCTAGCTGGTGCTGTGCTGGTTGTTGATGTGACTGGGTCTCTGATGGCTCGCTTCGGCGCTTTCGGCACACCAACATCGGCATTGACTATTCTCAGAGTCTGGATCCTGGCCTTCGGGGTGGCCTGTGTGAACGCGATGGTGTATATCCTGCTGCACAACTCTGAAGGATTTGACAATCTCATGCACGGCCGCAGTCTCCGCAACAAGGGGAAAGATCGTTCCTGGGAGGACTTTGGTAAGCTGAAACCAAATGTTCCTAAGTGCCCACCCCAGGGAACTAATGGATCCAAGGCCTTGCCATGCAACGTATGGCCGCCCAGCATGAAAGAACCAATTGAGGAGGATCGAAACGGCCAAGGGCCAACACAGTCAATGATCGAATACCATGATGATGAATCGTGTGTAATATGCTTGTTATTGATGCATCTTAACATTGACATATGACATCGAGAAATGATATGGGAATCGGGACGGAAAGGGAAAGGGAAGGTTTGCGCGAACTGGAGACCCCTATGGCATGGGACTTTCCATGTATTATAACTATTATTCTTACGTACTCCGAGCGCTAAGCCAAGAAATGCAGGCATTTCCATCTTATTTCGCTCTTCCGGGTTCTCTTTACCTGTTACTGTAGTTCTCCCGCAACGGTTGTTGGCAACGTTGCCGTATACTGCATCTTGGGCTTCCTCTCGGCTCCCTCTATCGATTCGGTTCTATTACAATTGACCTGAAAACCGAGGGCCAAGTATCAGTTACGTAGTTTATGCGTCGTAGGTAACCCAAGTTTCAGCCTTGATCATAAGCAGTAAGCATAATCTATGTTAAACTCTATGTTCTAATTCGTAGATACAAAGCCATGTGTAGAACTGTAACAAAACAGACATATCGTACTAAATGAAACAGACAAATCGTCTGTGGTAAACTGAAATCAGCGAACTATGGGAGTAACCGAGTCGACATGGAACAATTCAAGGGTATTGTTTGACCCAGTTATGCCGGCCTTCGTCCTACCCTCGCCAGGTCTCCCTGACATCTCATACAACTTCATATCAGAAGATGCATCTTTCTCGATATCGTCGCCTTCATTCCTCATAAATCTCTGTTGTCTCTGATACATGCGCCAGAAAACAAGACTGCCGTGGATCTGCGCGGCAGAAAACGCAATATGCAGAAGTGGTGTAACCACCTTGAACGCAAGTCTCCATCGGCTCCATAATGAACCGAACAGCCACATCGTCACAATGGTCTCGGAGAATGTTCCAAGTGCAGTGGAAACGCAGGAAAGAAGAAAGACACAACTGAGGAAATGGTGTCGTTTAGGAAAGACGCGGTAGAGAATGATTGCGACGTGAGGGAAGAATTCGGAGATGATATCGAAGGCACCTAAAAAAGCGATCATGATTAGCATGCAGTCAAAAGAAGAAAAAAACACGAAGAAGGTTTGATCGTACCCCAGACGGTACAAAGAACGAACTCAATCTCAGCATCAGGTTCCCTGACCGGCGTCAAACTGATCGCAATAGCTGTCTGCCCAATAAGAATCGTCCCAATGTGATGCATAACCGCAACAGGAGACAACTTGACCCGATAGAGCAACTCAAAGATATACATTGCAATCAACGTCTGAGCAACAACAACGAGGATATCACCCATGGTGACTATTGAGCCATGGGCATAGGCCGTCTGGAATGTCGCCTTGCCGAAGGTAACGCAGATGAACGGGTATGCGGCCACAATCAGAAGGACAATCTTGGTGAAACCGGCGATGTGGTGGTTGACGAACCCGCGGCGGTTGAGTTCGCTCAAATCCGTATAAATCGACCCGTATGCTCGGCGGATGAGGAAGCCTTCCAGGACGTAGTAGCGGATTAGGAAGTAGATCACCAGTGTGATTGAGATAATGAGCGCTGAGAACGGGGCAAGGACGGAGATTGGGCCTAATGTCTTGTTTTTCAACGCCACATGATCTGTCCGGGTCTCGTGCTGCATTGTTGCGATTGTTCCAAGTGAGTTTCCGGATGGTGGACGTCGGTTTCGAAGGTCTGGTACATGAGGAGCGACGGAGACAAATAAATGGAGATGGAATGAGTGGCGAGGCAATGCCAATGGGTCGTGTTGAAGAAGTCGAGAGCACTACACGCCGTGTTTCACAGGCCTGGGGTGCGGCTCAGCTGTTGACTTGCACGACTTGTAGGGCAAAAGTACGAGTTACACTAGTGCTCGCTTTTTCCTAATCTGGCACTTAGCGCCCTTCACTTCGGTTCTTTTCGCTCTAGTTTATTTTTAAAATATAGATTTTCTGTGGGCAACTAGACCAAAATGGTCCGGCGTGTACCTTCAACAATCGCAAGTATACCAAATTAAGTACGGGTCAAGCCTTTTGTTCGAAGCTTAACGGGAAATAGCAAACACCGATTGGCTGCTATTTTCTCCATTCAGGGTCCTGCCGGTCCCGCTGCACACGTAGCACATGGTTTGATTGGTGTTGCTCTCGGTAGAACTGGAGGTTTCAGGCAACAGCGTATAATATTGGGAAGCCTACGTCGCCCCCCTACAAACTCTGTAGAATATTGGGTTTGAGGTAGACCCTGGAAAAAGAGCCAAGTGCCTCGGGCCTTATAGGAATTGAGTTGCCTGGAAATTAAACCGCTCACTGTACTGGCTAGATTATCCTCGGCTAACATACCACCAAAAAGGCTGTCTAATCTAAATTTCTATCAATTATTAATAAATTGCCTCTAGACCCCTTTTACGCAGCGAGCTTACCTGCAGCAAAACGGCCCGAGCCCCAAAAATAGTGGCTACTCCAACAAGAGTTGCCACCCAGGCGAAAATGATAGCAGGGTAATATGACCCATAACTATTGATCATGTCCCCGGTGATAGGCGTTCCAGTAAAGGGTAGAAATACCCCAAACCCCCAATGCCATTCCCATATACGAGCCAATCTCATTCGACTTGCTCGCAGTCAGAGCAATGGTAGCAGGGAACAAGCCAATAACAGTCCCAGAAAAGAACCCAAACAACACCGAACAGGCAATCATCCCACACTGAGATGTAACAGTCAGCCAACAGAAGATCAATTCTTGAACAGGTGATCGAAGCCCCTGTTCAAGAATTGAATCGCCCAATACGGTTCGCCACCGCGCCACCGGAAAGATGGCCGAAGAGGGACCCCGCGTTGAGAATGGCAATCAAATCAGGTAAAAGGAGATGTCAACACTGAGACCAATAGGCTCGGCATATCCAGATACATAGCAAAAAATGGGACGAAAAGACCACAGAACATCAGGAACATTCCTAAGATCTGCAAGTAATACTCAGGATGCTTCCAAGCAGCAAGCAAAAAGGGAGCACCGCTCTTCCCCTTAGACGCATTCGATGAGAGAGCCGCACAGGATATAATACTCAATGGCAGCATGAGAAATCCCAAAACTCGAACAGACCATCCCAATCCAAGAGTTGATTTGTTGAGCATGCTGTTCGGGGCGATGGGGAAAACCACTCCTGCGGCGGAGGATCCGCTAGATGCAATTCCCATTGCGATTGGTCGTTTCTGGAAGAAATATTGGCTGATGGTGGTTACGGCTGGGGTATAGGTGAGACCGTTTGGAGGGCGTCTTGCGCTAGGATGAATTGGTAGTATTCGGTGCAGAGGGAGGTGATGAATAGCATTGAACATGGAATTAGGATGACCAGTATTCTTCAATGAGCTTTATTGATACTAGTATGACTGACATCCACGCGTTGTGCATACCTTCGGTCCATAGCGATCCATCATCGGGCCGGAGATGAGGCCAGCGGAGAACATGAAGAAGGCTTGAAGGGAGCCAATCCATGCAATATGGGACTCGCTTTGGGCACTAAGGAATGTGGCTTTGTAGTAAGATTCGTAGATTCTGTTGATGATGTTAGTAAAAGCAATCACTCGTCGAGTTGTTGTCAGACTTGCCCAAAGGCATTGATGTATCCGAATGTATTAAACATCACACACCAGCCGCTTAGCACGGTAAGCCATCCTTTGACACCTCCCTCTGGGAAAGATGACTTGGTAAGCATCTCTTTTGTTTCGGAGCCTTCCAAGGATTCCAATGCTATCTTCTTGTCGCTCATTTTACACCAGGGAAGAAGATTAAGTCGGAAATACCTGGGACGTTCAAGAGATTGACGCTGGAAGAGATAATCTTTATATCTATGTGTATAGGACGAGAAACAATCCAAGGAATTATATAGTCTGCAAAGCTGTATAGATGCATCTTCAAGACTCGGGATGTTCCGTAAGGGGAAATTAAGCTGGAGGCAAGCCCGAGAAGAAAAAATATCTCCGATGGGCTCAACGTTCAACTCATCTTCTCCGATCTTCTCTATCTCCGAGTCCTGACAAAATACAAAATGGAAGGAATAAGCACTGAAGAAAAGCAATGTCTAAGTGAAAATAGAAGAAAGACATCATGGCGCCATATCGCGTGGTTTCAGTTCTCAATTGGCAGGAACGTTGACATATAACAAGGACGCGTGCTGTTGTTTTCCCAGAGTATCACGCTCGCCCACAGTACTTCGCTCCCAAGGACGCTTCAGTGTATACTTCCAGGCGAGAACGGGCTCGAAGAACGTGTTCGTGATGATACCATCTGCCAGGAGATGGTATAGTTTTATGACAGGCTCGTCGGTGAAAATATTCGCATTCTTTGCTCGCTCATATGCCTCCCTGGTGTCGAACATGATGTCCAGAGTTAGTTCAAACGGTGCGGAATTCTTGGAGCGAATAATATTAGCGATTCCCAACATGGTGCACTCCTCCGATGGGAAAGCCTTCAGCTTCAGATGTGCCAGATCTTCTGATTCGAGCTGGTCCTTGGTAATCCCAGGAACTGGACGATCGAGTTGTTGTTCTGGATGTCGGCAAAAGAAATAGGGAATAGGGATGAATCCTTGTTTGTCTCGAGGTCCATTAAATGGTACACGTTGAACAGGAAGACAGGACCAGCAGCAAGTTCATGTGGCGAGAGTGGTGATGCGACGTTGCCCGTTGTCGCAACTTGGTCCTGATACAACATATGCAAAATTGAGGCCCTTACATTGTTTGCGATGGTGTACGACAAACCCTGTGTTGGCGCCGCGACCTCTCCGAGGATTCCCAGATCGTGAGGCGCGGTAGGAGTGGGCTCTAGAGGTCCCAAACTGGGACTCCAATTGCTCGATGCGACGCTTGGACTGGTGAAGCTGGTGGGTCATGCGCGTTGTAACTGGGGTTTTCCTTGTACTTGCATAATTCCTTGGCTTTGAGGCACTTCGCACAATTCGGTTTCTTGCCGTCGCATTTGATTTTCCGCTGTCGGCACATTAGCCATGCGAACCCGTACCGACGGGGCGTCCCTTGGACATTTTGCATGATGTGCTTTTGGGAATTGTCTGTAGTATATACTCTAGGGCTGCATAGAGGGAGATATCGGAGGTTAACAGTCACCTGTGCGTTAGGTTCGTGGGGTAATCTGGGGTACGGCGATTAGTCACCCCAGGCGAGGCGCGAGGTTGTTTCAGCCCTACAATGGGAAAGTGTTTGATTACATGTAAACTCAATTAAGTTATGGATTATCGTAAACTACACTACACAGGGGGATACACGGGAAATCCTTGTTCTGGGCGGATTGGCGGCAGATCCAAAGATCCAATGTAGACAGGAAAGAGACGATATACACGGCGCTGGACAAAAGGGAAATATCGATGCAAGAGAGCCCCGCTTGTTGGTCATCAGGTCCAAGGGGGCTCATGAAAGACAGTGGTGAAAGCAGAGTATGTGGGTAAGATATGTGCAGTAGGAAAGAAAGAGGGGTCATGATCAAGTTTTCGAGGTCAAATGGTCCGCAGCCTGGGACACAGTTAGTAAGGTTCATATGAGGTGTGGTAGGGTACTCACCTTGTCAAGGTTGTAATCGAACTTCTCCAGCGCATCGAGAGATTCATCGCGTGTGAAGCCCATACCAGTCAGTCGCTGGAGGATCAGGTCATCCTCGCCAGAATCGGTGTTGAGGGCCCATCCAGGCTGCTTGGACTTGTCCTCGCTGGCTTCTTCGCCAGTTGACGCCTTGGCATTGTCAAGGGGTGCAAAGAGCGCATCCCACTCATGCGCAGCGGGCTTGGAGTCGCCTCCAGCTGTTGATCCAGCGGGCTGGGTGGTCGAGGCGTGGACGTTGTTGTCAAAGGAGAAGAAGTCAGACGAGCCAGTGTGTTGCTTTTGGGCTGGGGAGTCAAAGGAGAAATCAAAGTCGTTTGTGTTCTTGACTTGGGTTTCCGGCTCGTCATCATCGTCGTCGTCTGCTTCAGTCGCAGGCGCAAGGTTCATTCCGGCGAAAGCTGCTTCAAAATCCGGTCCTCCAACCTTCGCTCCACCAGCTGGGATGACAGTCTCTGCGGGAGCGTCATGTGCGGACTCAGTGGGGACAACTGGTGCTCCAGTGGTGTGGTCCACTGAATGAGGCGCATCAGGGAAAGCGGTAGGATCAGCACGCTCGGGCAAGAGTCCATTGAACTGAGGAGGAAGGTGAGTGTTGTCTTCCTTGGGGGTCTCATAGTCAGGGGGGCTCTGCTGAGCCTCGGCGCTTGGGGGCTGGGCAGATGGGACAGAGGCTCCCGGGGCAGGGAAGGCAGCTAGCTGCGCGGCGTCGATGGAGTCCTGCTGGGGCTCCTTCTTAGGCACGGCAGGAGTGAAGTTGTCATCAAATCCTAGGGGGCCCTCGTCGTCGGAGCTGTCATCGTCATCATCGTCATGGTGAAGCTCCTGAATTGGGGGGAACTCAGATGGGCCAGCTGAAGCGGCTCCATTCGTCTTCTCAGCTCCGGGGCCTTGCTTCATAAAGGCAAACGCTTCCTCAAAGTCGTTTCCCTGCTGAGACTCAGACCGCTTGTGAGCCTTGCTTCCAAACAACTCATCGAAACTCAAATCCTTGTTTCCCTGAGCTTGGCCCTCGGTTGTAGATGTGGCAGTCTCGGGTTGCTCGGTCGATGCTACAGGGACTTCAGGAAATTTCGAAGCATCTGGCACTTCCTCAAATGGAGATCGAGCCGGGGTTCCTTCAACAGTGGAGGCTGGTGCACGACTGTAGTCACTGGATTCTGTCGCAGATGGAGGCCCCTGGTCGCTAGTAGCCAGAGAAGGAGTACCAAATCCGGAAGTTTCAGGGCCGCCAAAGCGACTGCCGGGAGGGGAGACCATGGTTGACGAAGTCAAAGACTGGGTGTCGTTGAACTGAAGGAAGCTCGGGGTGAGCTGCCGAGACTGGCTTGGGGGTGGGGGCTCAGACAAGGCGCCGGGGAATGATCCGGGCAAAGCTCCAGGAGGCGGAGAGACTGATGGAGTCGGCACACCAGAAGTCACAGGGGACTTGGCTGTGGCCAGCGGAGACTCGGAGCGGAACGAAGTGGGCGGTGGTCCAGCAGCGGAGGGTGCGAATGTCTGACCAAACAGGCTGTCAAATGCCTTTTGCTGGTCGTTGGAAACAGTGGGCGAGCGTGCCTGTTCACTTGCACTATCTGTTCGTCGGAAGAAAGGATTCGTGTTCTGGCTTGTGGTGGAAACAGCAGGGCTGGCAACCTCGGGCACGCTAACGGCCGGGGTTACGTCCGGGGTCACGTCCTCAACAGACTTGGGAGTTTCCCTTCCAACTTCGTTGATCTCACCCTGGATCTTATCCCGTTCGCCTTCAACGGTAGCCAATTGCTTCTTGTTGATTGCAACCAGGCCCTTCTGCTGACGCGCATCGGAGCGGGCCTTTTCCAGCGCGGGCTTAAGCTGTGCAACCTGGGCGTTAGCCTGGCGGATCTTCTCCTTCAAGCTAGCATTCTCCTGCTGGTCGGAAGCCAAGGCTGCCGAAACGTTGGTATATTGGTTGTGCAAATCCTGACGGCTGCCCTCGATGAGTGCATATTGCTGTTGCAACTTCTCGGTCTCCGCCTTGGAAGCCTTGAGGCGCTCCTCAAGTGCCTTGAAGTTAGTAACCTCTTGTTCATACATTGAACGCGCTTGCGCAAGGCGTGCCTCGAAATCACGCTTCTGCTGGGAAGACTGGGTAATGTTCTGTTCAGCAGAAGTCCGCTTCTCCTGTACGTTGTGCATTTCCTTGGCAAGAGAACCAATCTGATTCGACAGGTTCGCGAGTTCAGTAGTTTCCTGGGTCAGCTTGTTTGACTCCTCGGGATCATTGTCGCCAAGGAGGTCGTCCGATGGAGGGGGAGGTGAGCGAACTGTTGGGGTACCTGCAGATGCACCAGTCATCTGCGGCTGCAGGCTCTGGCCAAAGGAGGAACTAGGAATGAAAGGCTTGAACGTGTTTGAAGCGGTCTGAGGAGACGCTCTAGAGCCAGGCGAGCCTGGAGTGTGGAACGCCGGGTTGGAGCCTCCAGTAGACTGAGGCATTTGAGGCTGAGCAAACGGCTGCACAGGCGAATCAAGTCCAAACAAATCATCGGCAGCAGATCGTACTGCAGGCGTGGGCGCCGGGGGAGGAGTAGGGGCTGCCATGGGCGCTGGCACCGGCGCCTGGCGGCGCATGTTGGGTGGAATGAGGGCAGGCGGAACAATCTGCGGAAGCGGCTCCTTGCCGCTACGCTGCAGTCTCACCAGATACATAGCCACAGCAAACTCCTCCCGACTCAGCTGGCCATCCGCGTCAATGTCCGCAAGGTCCCAGATCTGAGCAAGAGTTTCCTCGGGAAGTTGAGCCTTCATGAAGAAACCAACAGCTTGGTCACCAGTGATCTTTCCCACCTTACCTGTGTCGACGGTCTCGAAGATGGTGTCGAAGTGAGCCTTCTCCTGGGGGGTGATCAACCAGTCGTTTCCGGTAGCCTGGGCCGAAATGCCTCCAAACGGCGGGCGGTTGGCTGCGCTCATAGGGCTTGCTGTTCGCTGGGGGCCCGTAAACTGTTTTGGAATGGCAGGAACGGGAGGAACCTCGGGTCGTGCACCGAAAGACCCGCGAGCAGATCCTCTTCGAGATGCGGCTTCGTATAGACCGGGTGGCAGGGTCGCAGGGATACCGCGCAGGGCACCGGATTTATATGAAGTCAGGAGATGCATGGCAATGGTGAACTCGGTAGCATCCAAAGCGCCGCGCTGCTTGGTGTCCGACAAGAACCAGATACGACCCAGGACCTCATTTGGAAGCCGGGCGCGCTCAAAGATTTGCTTCGCGATTTCGCCTATTAACCAAGTAATGGATATATTAGCAATGGCCAACATTCGCAACATTGAAAGACGACACACCTGAAATCACGCCATTGTTGACATCAGACTTCTCAAACAGCGAGACGAACTTGTTGGCATCATCAGGCTGCAGGGGCGGGACTCGAATAGGTGCGCCGGCACCAGGCGGGGGGCTAATGGTGCCAGATTCGGGTATCGGAGCTGTTGTATCGACAACAATTCCATCAAAGCGAGGCAAAGGACCAGCTATGAAACAGATCCAAAATCAGTATTACTTCCATTCTTCCGGAATGTATCGTCACTCACTCTGCAGAGCCAATTCGTCAGAGGGAGCCCGACCAGCTTGCGCATGTCCAATGAGTCGTAGAACAATGCCGAAGCCAGACGGAGTCAGGAGACCCCTGTTCTCTTTATCCGCGATTTGCCATATCTGCGCCAAGTACAATTAGCAACAAAGCTCGGTATCATAACAAACACTCCCTTAGATGCCCACATACCAATCCGAGTGTATCCGGAGAGAGGTGCGTCTTCTCGAAGAACGGAACGGCGATTTCGCCAGTAATAACGCCGAGGTTGGTAGTATCAGCAGCCTGGAAAAGCTGATAAAAGACTCGCTTTTCCTCCGGCGTGAGATTGAGGTTAGGGTGCCGTTGTGCTTGAACATATGAGTTAGAACCGCGGCGTTGCGCATAGAAGACGGGTATGTATGAAGGGGAGGTGGTGGTCATGACGGAGGCCGGCGGGACTTCCCCTGAAGTGCGCCGAAGCTCTCTTGCCGTTGTTCTGGGGTCTCGTAGGGTGTGGGGGATGGCACTCACAAGTATCAGCCATTGCTGTGTCCTAGGAGGAGCTTAACTCCCCTCCTTCCAATGTGTTCACAATCGTTGGGGGCCTGGAGGATAAGGAGACACGGGGTACCGTTAGCTTGGTAGATGTGATGGGCATGGACTAAGCGCGAGTTCTGGGAGAATAAGGGCAGGGAATATAGATAAATCCCAAGCTCCAAGGAGTAAATAGACGTCAGGAGGAAGGGGAGAGAGTGGCTGGAGTCGATGTCGTAAGGAGGGTTCCTGGGGTCCCAAAGGCGGTCAGTTGCTTTTAGCGTCCATTCCAGGGTAGACCCTCCCATAGTATTTAGGGATTATATTTGAGATTTGTCTTGTTCAAGCTATCTTGTCCGCATTTACTACTTTTATATGTTACTACGAGTCATTCTGCCAAGTGGTGGTTGTCCTGATCTGTTAGATGCATGACGCGCATCTATATACTTGGACCAACCTTTTACAAAACCCTCAGCATCAGAGGAATGACAACACTACGTGAGATCATTAAATATTTCCTGACCCGAACGAATCGATGAACTTGAGCAAAATGCATCGATGCTGCAGGGGAAAAAAAAGTAACCACAATGGTATAGTTAGAGGAACTTGGTAAAATGGTACAAATATATATCAACGCCGGAGATGCTGACAGCTCGACATTCAAAGACAACAAGGAAATAATTAACGCCAAAACCATCCTGCAATACATCCAGCGGACCAAAATTATCCCTGTGGTAACTTTCTGGCATCTCTAGCCTCAAATTTCGAGGGACTAAAGGAATATCAACCATACGAATCAAACATCCCAGATGCATTCACTACAATACCAAAACGTCTCTATACTTAGGGGTTAGCTTCAGATATAAGACTGGATGACATAGACATGGGTTGTGCTGATATCCTCGACTGTGGCACTCCGTATGATCCAGGGCAAACACATGAAGCTACAACTCAACTCTTTGAGAACAACCGATTAAGCTTGGAAGCTAGGCACAGAAGTACAAGAGTACCGAGTATCAGACCAATCCACTGGCTGAAGCCATGACTATTGACAAACATAAAGATTCATACGAAGGTTACATTCAAAGAACGACGAGGATACCAAAGTAAGTACAATCGCAAAATCCCGCTACGAGGATGGAACGGGGGAAATTTCATCGCTGCTTCAGGGATATTAAAGATATATCGAACAACAAAGCCAGAAAATCATCGGCAGCAAAACTTATGTTCCCATCTATTTGCAAAAAGCCCGATAGACGCGGGAAGAAACCAAACTTAGAGACTCGGCATTGATCCCCAAACCAACGCGCACAAGCCAAATAGCCAAGAGCCACAAAGCCGGTCACACAACATCCCTAATCTAGTACTCGGGCTCAAGCTCCTCGTCACCCTCGAGGGAGTCGGAGGCAACCTCCTCGTAGTCACGCTCAAGAGCAGCGAGATCCTCACGGGCCTCGGAGAACTCACCCTCCTCCATACCCTCACCAACGTACCAGTGAACGAAGGCACGCTTGGAGTACATGAGGTCGAACTTGTGGTCGAGAGCGGACCAAGCCTCGGCGATAGCGGTGGTGTTGGACAGCATGCAGCTATATATGGGTCAGTATCAATTTTGAACAATGCCAGGATAAAAACTTACACAGCACGGTTGAGGTTGGCGAGGTCGCCGTTGGGGACCTGCTGGGGAGGCTGGTAGCAGATACCGAGCTTGAAGCCAGTAGGGCACCAGTCGACGAACTGGATGGTGCGCTTGGTCTTGAGGGTGGCGACAGCGGCGTGGGCGTCCTTGGGGACGACATCACCGCGGTAGAGCAGACAGGTGGCCATGTACTTGCCGTTACGGGGGTCACACTTGACCATCTGGTTGTGGGGCTCGAAGCAGTTGGAGGTGATCTCGGTGACCGAGTGAGCCTCGTGAGCGGCCTTGTCGGCGGAGATGATGGGAGAGTAGGCGACCAGAGGGAAGTGGATACGGGGGTAAGGCACCAAGTTGGTCTGGAACTCGTTAAGGTCGACGTTGAGGGAACCGTCGAAGCGCAGGGAAGCAGTGATAGAGGAAACAACCTGGGCGATCAGGCGGTTCAGGTTCTCGTAGCTGGGGCGCTCAATGCCGAGATTACGGCGGCAGATATCGTAGATAGCCTCGTTGTCGACCATGAAGGAGCAGTCGGAGTGCTCCAGGGTGGTGTGGGTAGTCAGGATGGAGTTGTATGGCTCAACAACGGCGGTAGCGTTCTGAGGGGCGGGGTAGACACAGAATTCCAACTTGGACTTCTTGCCGTAGTCGACGGACAGACGCTCCATCAGGAGAGCACCGAAACCGGAACCGGTACCACCACCGAAGGAGTGGAAGACGAGGAATCCCTGGAGACCGGCACAAGAGTCGGCAACACGACGAACACGGTCGAGGACCTCATCGATCATCTCCTTACCAACGGTGTAGTGGCCACGGGCGTAGTTGTTGGAAGCATCCTCCTTGCCAGTGATCATCTGCTCAGGGTGGAAGAGCGAACGGTAGGTACCGGTGCGAACCTCATCGACAACGTTGGGCTCAAGATCGGCGTAGATGGTACGGGGAACGTACTTGCCCTGGCCTGGTGGGGGATATTAGGAACGGGATTTCCCAGGCGGGGGAACATGAAAAAAAAATCAATTTTCATACCAGTCTCAGAAAAGAAGGTGCTGAAGCCGTGGTCGGGGTCAGCCTTCTTGCGCTCCTCAGTGAGGAATCCATCGGGCTATCAACATCGTTAGTGCCCCCTCAAGAAAATAGGGGTACGGCTGCCCGAGTCGACATTGGGCGCCCCCCCACGAGTTTGATTTGCATTCCAACATACCTGGATACCGTGCTCCAGACAGTACAGCTAGAAAGTCATGACTGTCAGTATATTCGAAATTTGTCGGTCAATGGTTGTGGGTATTTACCTCCCAGCAGGAGTTGGCGATCTGGCAACCGGCCTGGCCGACTATAGGGAAGAATCATGTCAGCGCGTCATTCCATCGAAGATACAGGGATACACAATGATCAGAGATGATGAGGGACCTTGACATACCGTTCAAACTGATAATCTCACGCATTGTGATTCCGTGGATGTTTTTAGGCTAAAAAATCAGGAGAGGGGAAACCCAAAACAACAAACGCGGTGGTCTGATTCAGGGGGGGTTCAGTCAAAGAAGGGGGCGGGGGGGGTTGATAGAGGGGTGAAATACCTGAAGAATGGAGGAATGGACGAGAAGATGTCGAAGGGAAAACAGAGGTCAACAGAAATGTTGTGGAGGAGGAGCGTCTGTGCTGTACAGGGGGGAAGTTCATTGTTGATCCGTTCGTTGGGTCGCGTCAGCCCTTCTGATTGGCTCCTGCCCGGCTGCTCCTCTGGGCTGCCTGACCGCCTCGATAGTCTCGTGATCCCACGTGACTGAACTCGGATATCGAGGGACTTACTGTAGTTGATCAGTTCACTGATCAGGCATAATTGAAGAGCAATTGATTTTTACTGTGAATTAATATCTGTGTCGCAACTCATACGGTGTCAACATCAAATACTCGGTCAAGCGGGACCCACACCAGGACAACACCATTCACCTGATAAGCAACAACACACCGAAGAGATAATATCAGTACAGTATAATCCCAAACTATAAACCTACACAGCTAACAGATTCCCAGCACAACAAGTCCACAGAAAAGCAATGTGCAGTGGATAACAGTGGATAAAGAGCCAAGGAAACCACATCACATCCAAACCTGCGATCTGCAACCTGCATAGCAGAGCTATCACCATGCAAATCCATTTTCTCACCCTGGGCCTAATGCTGCCCCTCTTCACAGCAGTAGCCCAAGCAAATGTGGAAAAAGCCATCTTCCTCGCTCCCCCAGAAACAACAATCCCCTCAGAGCAGCCGGACTTCGACGACCTCGGTCTAGAGCGGCTATCACCTCAAAACCCCATAGTGCGCACCCGACTCAATGCATCATTCCCAACAACCGACGCCCCAGATGGCGTGGACTCTTGGTTCTTCCTGGAGAACTTGAACCCAGGTCAGCGGTATGAAGTACGAGTTTGTTGGTTAGCAACTGTAAGAACCATCCCCCAACCCCCAACCCTCACATTACAATACATCATACATGTACCATGGAACAAGAAAACAGAAACAGGGGAAATATAAACTAACAAACCAAGCAACCAACATCCTTCACCCTAAAAACCCACCCCGTCCCCCAAACAATCTCCAACAAATCCCTACTGAGCTCCCTAAGCATCTACACAAACGCAAGACTAGCAACCCTAGACACTGCACTACAATCAAATAGCATCCCAAGACATGCAATCAGCCGTCCACGCGGAAGCAACAAGGGCGGAAGCGATCCGCTAGATCCGGCGCCGACAACAGACTCAGTTCTGTTCTTGCGGATCCACGCCGCGGCTGATTACTTCAGTACTGACGCTGCACTGATGCGGGATGTGCCGGCTGTGGCGGTGGATGTGATTTTGGATCCGTTTTTGATGAATGTTTTCCCGCGGTCGCTTGTACCGACTGCGTTGTGGATTGTTGCTGTTGCTTTGCTTGCTGCTGTTGTTTCGAGGTGGGTTTGTGGGGAGGTTGGGAGGGTTGTTGAGGATGCGCGTGGGCAGAGTGCTCTTGAGGATATGAAGAGGAAATAAGTTGGGGATGGATAGGGTGAAGGTTGTACTACTAATTTATTTCTTTTGTCTATTGGGTGCTTTGTATGTTTTATGTATGATATAAGCGTGACTGGGACTTGAGATGTGGAAAGGGATATACTGAGTAGCTAGAGGGCATTTGAACCAATCCAAAGAAGCTAGGTATGGAAGAAACAGGGTGATGTTCAAATACTACTATCAACATTCACCTACCACTCACGAATCCTACAGAGAATTGAGACACCAGTTTCAAAAGGCAGGGAGTCGCAAATATTCATGAACAAAATTTAGCTAGCCTAACAAAGAAGACTCAATGCCAGAATCGCCGGAACAACAATCAGACATACAAACATGGGGGATACATGATTCATAACATAAAAGGGGAATAAAAAATAAACATGGGCAGTGCGTATGGAGAAACAAGAGTCAAAATCAAAGCAAGAAACACTAGAATGAACGCCGTAGATCAGCCAGCTGTTTCGTTCTCTTCCTCTGTCTATTCTAAACGTGTCCCAATATGTGAACGACATAGATGGCAGTATGGCAGTATATCCACGACCACTGGCATCTAGATCCTGGGAGATAAAGACCAGTTAAACTCTCATCAATCATAATTTCGAGGGCTGTAGTCGTGAATTAATCCTCGAAGAAGTTCAGAATGGCACGGATACCCTTGGAGCCAAGACCGTGGGCAGGGTACGAGATATACAGCGGATCCTCGGTGGCACCTAGCTTGGCACGGAATTCACTTTTGCGCACGAGGTGGAACTGCTTAGCGAGGGCTTCGTAGGTGTGCTCCAGCATCTTGACCTTGGTGCCGTGCATGTTGTGGCCAGGGATAAGTTGGGAAGTGGCGCCAGCGCCGAAGGTGAGGCCCTTGACACCGCTCTTGGCGGCGGTCTGGATGGCGTGGGTGACGATATATTCAATGACACCGTTGGGAGCGCCGGGGAAGTCCAGACTGTACTTCACTTGCATGCCATGGGCAGGGGACAGCATGGCCAATGCGACAAAGGCACAGATGTTGCCCTGCTTGTCCATGGCGTAGAAGTACCAGCGGTGCTCGGAGTCGCACCATGGGCGAATCTGTGAAAGGTGGACTTGTGTGCCCTTGCGGTTTGACAGCCATTCGCTGATGCGATCATCAATCTTCTTGCGGATGTCATCTGGGACCATCTCGCCTTGGTTGAACGTGACCAATTTGATGCCCTCGTTTTCGGCGCGACGGAGCTTGCGGGATATCTCGCCGTCAGAGGCAGCCTGGTTGCGCGAGGGATCAACACGCTCTTCAGCAATACAAGACAGACTGCGCCAGCCTAGTCGCTCACCCAGGATGGTCTCAACCTCTGGCGAACAGAGAATCCAAACGGGCTTGAACTTGGTCTCACGGCGCATCCACTGCAAGAATTGTGTGATGGTGCGTGTGTATTGTTTGGGGTCACAGGCTGGGTTACCTGGGATGACGGCGTAGTTGTTGGAGCTGGGAACGTAGGCGACGGCCGCACCAGTGGCCATGTCACGCCAGATCTTGAACCGGTCATCGAACCAAGAAGTTGATGTGGCATCACCGTAGTTAGCAACCAGCTCCTCCAGCGGTTGCAGCTCGCTAACATCGGAAGCCACACGACCCTTGTGCTCGCGTTGCCATGGCGGTTCAATGGTCGAGGATTCAGGGTGGCGTAGCTTCTCTCCGACTGGTTTCGCTGGCAAGCTCTTGGGATCACGATGGAAGAGCGAGGTAAGACGAATGTTGCCCAGTTTCAAGATTAGCATGACAATTCGCTCGAGACCAACACCGGCACCTGCGTGAGGGGGAGCACCCCATCGGAAGCCCTCGAGATATTCTTCCATATCCTCTGGGTTGATACCAACGCGGCGCATGTTCTCCTCAAGCATGTGAGGATCATGAATACGTTGACCACCCGAGACAATCTCCTGCCCACGGATGAACATGTCGAATGAGTTGGTGTATTTGTCATTTTCGGCATCGGGCATAGTATAGAATGGACGCGCATCGCGGGGGAACTTGTCAAGGACATAGTAATCGGTACCATATTGCTCCTTGACAAGCTCACCGAGGCGAATCTCGTCACGAGTGGCTAAATCCTCATCCAGAGGCAGCATTTCACCCTCCTCGCTCCGCCATCCCGAGTCATTCAGCATTTTGATACCGTCGGTGAAGCGAATAATTGGCGTCTCATCCAGCCACACGATATCCTCTGAAGGGAACTGGTGCTTGATAAGCTCCACCTCGCGGCGGTACTTAGAATAGATACCCTTCAAAATGTTCTTGATAACAGCGTCAAGGGTCTCAAGCATCTCATGGTAGTGCTCTTCAATTGACATTTCGATATCCAATCCAGTGTACTCTGTCAGATGACGATGAGTGTTGGAGTTCTCGGCACGGAAGACGGCACCGATCTCGTAAACACGGCCGAAATCGGCAGCAATAGCCATCTGTTTTGCCAATTGGGGTGACTGGGCCAGAAATGCAGGGCGACCAAAGTAGTTGACCTGGAAGACACTTGCTCCAGATTCAGTGGCAGCACCTTGCAACTTGGGAGTGTGGATTTCGATAAACTCGCGCTCGTCTAGGGCGGTACGGAACAGGTTGCAGGTCGCAGACTGCACACGGAAGATAGATTGTGAAGTTGCTGTCCGCAGGTCGAGGATTCGATTGGCTAGACGTGTCCGGTCAGGGATATGGCTGCGACGACCCTCAACCTTATCTTCCTCGGTGGTCCGAATCTCGGCCTCGTAAACGCTGAAGGGGACAGGCTCCTCGCGACGAACGAGAAGATGAACAGAGTCAATGGCCAGCTCGACATCATGAATGGAGCAGCCCAGCACAGGAACTTCAGGCTTTTGCACTGTACCCCGGACTGTGATGAAAGAGCCCACGCGGAGGTGCTCGACCCACTGGATCATGGCGATGGATGAGATCCCCGGGCGCTCATGCAGAACACCCTGGAAAGTACCCAACTGCTGACGGAACACTAGGAACACCAGTTTGGCACTCATCCGACGCACCACATGCAATCGGGCCGTGAAGAAGACCTGCTGCCCCACCATGGCAGGTGTGATCTCATCGATCCGAGTGCGTAGTTCTCGTGGACGCACGGAGGACTGCATCAAGGGCAGCTCGCCATAGCGTGCCTTCATATCAGCAGTCTCTTCAGCTGCAGCTTTCGCAATCTCTTCTTCCTTGCGGCGGTGATCGGCCTCGGAGAACGTCTCCTCACTGAGACGGCTGCGCTCACTGCGCCGGTGTTGACGGACCAGCCGCTTCTGCTGATTCTTGCTCAAGCCACCGCTGGAGGAGTCATCGGAGAAGTCCTCAGAGGAAGAGACATAATCATTCCTGTCGCGTAGGAAATTGCCGAGAATGCTGCGACGAGGGGATGCGGTGGGAGAGCCGGAGCGGGACGTAGAGGTACGAATCTTGGGGTTCAGGGTAGTACGAATGTTGGAGCCAGAGGTGTCATCGTCGCCTCCCATATGCCCTTTAATGGCCTTGGAGAGAGCACGTTTGATCGACATGTTGAGCAATGCCTAGGACATGAGAAGAGAAGGGTTCAAGGTTGAGATGGTTGGTGAGGGGGGCGAATGGCCGGAACCCTGGAAGCGGTGATCAATAGTAAGCAGGGAAGCCCGTCGGAAGAATGAGGAACAGACCAGTCCGTGAAGAGGATAAAGTTACAGGAAGATAAAGAGTATATTGATATAATTAGGAATTCAGGAGTAGCAGAGCTGAAGAATTAAATAAACCCGGCCTACCCTGCCCTGAAAACAGAGGATGACATCACACTCCTGATACTTGATTTCTTGGTATGGAGCTTACGTTTTGTCTCGGCCTCAGACTACGTTTCTTTATCTCAACACCTGATTCTTGACTTGACTTGCCTTCACTTCGCTTGTACTTTACTTGACTTCAATTTCATTCTTCTTGTCCTCCCGTTCTATAAACTTGTCATCTTCCGGATCTTCCGGAGTTCCCAAGCGCATGCCAGATCACACTATGGCCCAGTCCCGATGGTGGCTGTATGTACAGGCCGTCTTCTGGCGGTTTCTGATGCGGATCGGAATGTTCCTGCACGATATTGGTCCGCCCAGTCCGCCCCGACCGTCCTTCACTCGCAACGTGACCTCCGACTCCCATGGCCACTCAGTAGTCCTCCATTTCTACTGCCCACCCGACTACCACCAGCAACGCCGGTTAGGTCATCGCTACCCGGTTGCCGTCAACTTCCACGGAGGCGGATTCACGCTCGGCTGTGCCACGGATGATTCTCGCTGGGTCAAGGTGATCCTGGATAATGTCGGAGCGGTTGTTGTAAGCGTGAGTTACCGGCGCGCACCGGAGCACCCTTTCCCCGCAGCAGTGGACGACGGTGTCGAAGGACTACTCTACCTGGCAGCACATGCCGCTGAGCTGGGCTTGGATGTAAGCCGAGTGGCGTTGAGCGGGTTCTCGGCAGGCGGAAACCTGGCAGTTACGGTGCCGTTGAGGCTGCGTGGCCGGATATCAACCGAGGTCAAGGAACACTTGGGCCGAGCGGAATCAACCCAGAACCTGATCAACCAAGTCAGCGATCTTCGCATTGTGGCATTGTTCAGCTGGTACCCGATTCTGGACTTCCAGGAATCGCGCGACCATCGCCGGGCGATGAGTCCCATGCCGGACAAGACTCTCCCTGCCTTCTTTACCACCCTCTTTGACGAGGCTTATCTTCCCAATCTGGAGGATCGTGCTTCTCCGTATGCATCTCCCGTGCGCGCCTCCGATCGAAATCTGGCCGAGGCCCTTCCTCACGATATCTTCTTGTTCATCTGTGAATGGGACATGCTCATGAAGGAGGGTCAATCGTTCGTGCGCCGCTTAGAAGGCCTTGGCAAACGCGTTCGGGCCATGCTTATTGAGAAGGCCAAGCATGCGTGGGATAAGTCACCCAACCCATGGCGGGACCAGGACAGCGTGGATGTGCTTTACCGTGACGCCTGCGCAGACATGAAGGCCATCTTCGATAGGTGATCGCGTAGCTTGGACTTTGACTTTATTTCCTTTTCCTGCTAGTATCTTAGCACTGCGAGAGCGCTGACTTCGGCATTTGGGAACCAGGCATTCACGGCGTTGAACATAGCATTGCTTTAGTCTTATTACATCCTTGCTTTTGTCAGCCAAGTCGTACTCTGTAACCATTCCTCTCAAGTGAAAAAACATTGAGGCTTCGGGAGGTGTATGCTGTAGAACAGGTACCAATTCGAACTGCACATGTACAGTATATGCAACCCCAAGGTACATAACATACATGTATGCAAGGCCAATCCAACCAAATAAAGTACATGCAACAAATCCGGCAGCAGGATTGGTGGTCCAGCGACCCACCAATGACCAAGATCTCCACGATCTCCCACGATCTACACGCAGCGACCCTACAGTAGCCCTTACTGTAGGTAACCTTGGCAGCCGTTAAATGATATCATTATGAGCCTAGCCAGCGGGCGAGACTGACTCCCAAGGTAATTTTAGTCTGTTATCACAAGGTTTTCAATGGCTATGGTGTCATTTGTTCATTTCCCATAAGAATAGTTTGTCGGAAAAGCAGTGGTGCCTGTGTCCGGTTTTTGATGGCTTGGCAGGCGTTTAGTGTCTTCTTGATTTCAAGCATATGGCTCGATCTTCAACCATGGCTTTGAAAATCAATGGACTATGGAGCTCGGGGACTCCCTACTTTGGTTGAACATGTTCTCGAAAATGATATTGTTTTATGGGGCGTGACCTACTATGCTTTGTTTGATCCGGTTTGGGTGTGGGGTATTTTGACTCATTGTCCATCTGGATGTACAGTATAGAATTCTATATTTCTGCTACGGTGTCATTTCGAATGAGAATTGGGTTGGAATCAATGGAGAATCTTGAACAATTTAGAAAATTGCGGTGTAGTACCCAAGGCTATCCTCTAAAAGGTACTGTATACGTAACTAACGTGGCCTACATACTTGATTTCCTCTGCCACTTCTTGGCGTTCTCTTTCCGTATTAGTGCTCAGACCTTGCCGCTTTTTGCTCACTGAGTAGATCTAAGCACGCCCCTGAGCGCCTTGATCCGCTCACTGAGCATTACATAAGCGCTCTGACCTGCTCACTGAGCATGCTCTGATCGTCACCTGAGCGCCCTGATTCGCTCACTGAGTCTGAGCTGAATTTGGGGTGAGCAGCCTGAGTAAGCTACGTTAATAAAATGCAAAACACTAGCTCTATCACTTGTACCCCTCCACTTTTAGATGGCACCCATCGTCCTATCAAAAAAGGGCTGGAATTTCAACGTGATACTTAATCCTAGTAAAATGTCTGCAATCAATTGCGCCATAATAGAGCTTGATAATTGGCCACCTAATCAGCATTGTTGTTCTACGATCGATGCTCCTAGGAATACTTTGCCTTCTCGGTCCCGCTATTTCCGAACAAGGATTTGAAGGACTACCGGAGCTAGGAGTATAGGATCAGTCTACTTAGAGATCCCTAACATGTCCTAGCATAGAGTCTAGCTGAGATGATCGTTAAAATGTGGAGAAAGAGAACCCCTTCTCTGCCAATAAGCGTATGCAACTAGACTTCTATACGCAATCGGATTTTCTTTATAAGGCTCTAGATATAGTGCTCCTAGTAGCTGGCCGTAGGCTCTGTAATAGCCAATAAAAATATCCGGAAGCTAGCTTGATAATTACAGCTATCGTTTAAGCTATTTTCTTATTCGCTATATCACTATGTCCCTAGGAACCCAGAATGTTTACCACCTCTATATATATAGGACATTTAATATATAAGCCTCACGCGTAAGCCGGGACAACCTTGACTCTAGAAGACGTCCCGCGAGGAAGTAAACGAAAGGAGCCTCTATATTCTGGAAAACCCTATGTAGGTCACTTATGGCGCACATCCTCCGCTCCTTATATATGTCGTGAGATATTTATAGCCCTTTAGAACGAAACCTTGTTCCTAGGAGCCTACCGTGCGCCTAGCCAGACCCTATTATGTAGGAGACCTAGTTAGACGTCCTAGGAACTTAACCTATATCCACACCCCCTTTGGTTGCTAACTATAGACGTGCTAAAGGATATTAAAGATGCTGCTATATAAATATAAGATAAAGAATACCTATCTCTATTATTTATAATCTTCAAAAATACTATATCTAAGGATAGAAACAGCAATAACTCTTCTTTGCTATAGTGAGTCTACATATATTGACTAATTATGACATTTATTTAACAAGTTCGCTACCTATAGTTACCTAAACGCATGATGCCCGAACTTAATAAGTACTAGTGTAACTACAGCCCAAGTTACTAAAGCTATATAGCGCGGCGTGTATGCTCTATTAGAGAATATTCAAGCTTATAAGCGCACTAGCGAACTCTTAAATAAAATTGGCCGCTAACTACTTTCCGTCAAAAAGCGATTATATTAGAGGTAGAGGGCATATATTCTTACAATATCAAACTTAGCTACAAAGTCCACATTCATCTTCGGGCGGCAATTTCGAACACCCAAGATATATATAAAAGGTTTTTGGGTATATTCAAGGAATAGAAAGATCACTCGTCCTCGCTCTATCTACACGAATCGGATTCTAGTGACCTTGATATCTTCGAAGAAATAGAATTGCGGCTCTTTAGCCAAAGCCTATAGATATTAGAATATACAATGCTTATAGCAGAGGAAAACTCGGTGTTATAAGTGAAAAAGGAACCCTTAGATACTCGATCGGCCGTCAATCTTATTATTTCACCAGATTAGATAAAATTTCTATCTTAAGAGCTCTTTCCGACGTGGGGTAGACCTCAATAATATCTAGAGAGAATAAATTATTCTTAGCGGCGATCGATATAAATCGGAAGCAACACGTGCTATAGGACCGACGATTGGCACTTAAACGCATCGCTCGTAAATCCGAAGCATACGAGATTAGGACGCAATACCATCGAAATGTCATTGGTGAGCTCTTGTCTAAGATCAGTCGCTTACGCAATAGACAACCAGTCTATACCGGGGAAGAAGACCAGCTCCCTATTGATACTATCAATGCAATAATCGGTGATTACCAATATCCACAACGCGATAAAGCCCGTCATAGGGGCAAATCCCCGATACCCGAAACACGTATGTTTCAGTCATGAACCGTTTCTCCGTATTATGATTGACCCACTTGGATCACTATGGCACTATGGATTCCATTTGATCAAAACTTGTCTAATAGTACTGACATGGAAGGTTCAATCCATGCTATAAAGGCTTGTAGCTCATGGACAAGATGATTTGTTCAATCATATGGTTGGCAGTATTAGTGGCTGTATTGTCTTGGTCTGCCCAGCAGATTTGATGAATTGGTGGGCCTTTGTCGAGTAGACGTTCAGAGAGATAGGAAAACTTCGATCGCTTACGCAGAATTATTGATACTGAACGTACCAAGAAAGTGACTGGGGCATGTAAGTGATGAATTGAGGGAGAGTGATGAATTGAGGGAGAGTGATGAATTGAGGGAGAGTGATGA